TCTTTGTCTCCCGCCGTCGTCCAATCACAGCGGAGGGGCCATCCCACCCTCCAGATTGTGACACTTCAAAGCTGTTCCCCCCTGCCTCCTCCCTCCCCCCCCTCTCCCCCTTACAGGTCTGCCTTAAAAGCAGCAGCACTCGCACTCGCACTCACACTCGCACTCACCCGCTGATCCACCGTGTCCCCAGCACCTCTGGATACTGCAGTAGTCATCGTAGTAGTACTTGTAGTAGTAGTACTTCATGTGAAGAAGACAGAGACGGAGACGACGGATCCAGAACAGCAGCGGCGTCCTCCCTCCTTGGGGAACCTTTAGCATCCAAACTGAGATTATTTGACTAAAGCTTAAATGTTTTGTAAAAATAACTTTATTATTGTAGTAATTTGTCAAAAGGCAATTTTATGTGTTTGTCAAACAATAATTAAGAATGTCAAGAGTGTAAAGTCATAAAATAAACTGTGTTATTAAGTCTAGTGTTTACTTGACCGAGACGAGTGCACATGCCAGTGCACTCTCAGAGCTGTTAGATCTGACAACCTGAATGAATATTTTAGGTTTATTTAAGGTTACGTTTCCACTTGTTGCATCTTTTCATCCATTATTGTACACCTTCACAGCAGTTATTAACACGTCTCAGCCTGTTACTAAAATGTCTTTTTACATAATGATTTCCTGGAATGAAAACTATTTTCTTTCTCTCCCTAATTTTGTTTGCATGTAACAAGATAATTATGAGCTTTGCTAAATTGTTGGATGCATCTGTCAACGCTTGTTGTTGCCGCTATCTCTTCCTGTCTCCCCCTAACCTCCCCCCCCCCGCCGGCTGGGAGACCACTGTCCCGCTCCTGGTCTCAAGTAAGGGGCAGCAGCGGGGGGCGGGGGAGCGGGTGATCCTACTGACCCTCCTTCTTCGTCTCCTTCTCCTTCTTCTCGCCAGTGGAACAAGGACAAGTGGGAGGTGGCGGGGAAGGCCGAGCCGCAGCCTCCCTGCAGGACCTTCCTCCACTGCGACTCCCCCGCGCCGGGGAGCCACTGGATGAAGCAGCCCGTCTCCTTCCTCAAGCTCAAGCTCACCAACAACACCCTGGACCAGCACGGACACGTGAGTATACCGGGGGGGGGGGTTCCTGCCTCGGTGGTAACCGCCGGGATCTACCGGGGGGATATACCGGGAGGGAAACTAGATAGTAACTCCTCTCTTTCTTTTTCTCTCTCTCTCTCTCTCTCGCGCTTTCTCGGATCCGATCGGTTCCAGATCATCCTGCACTCCATGCATCGGTACCACCCTCGGTTCCACATCATCCAGGCCGACGACCTGTTCAGCGTCCGCTGGAGCGTCTTCCAGACCTTCACCTTCCCCGAGACGTCGTTCACGGCCGTCACCGCCTACCAGAACACCAAGGTCAGTGCGGTGGGCCCCCCCCGGTGGAGGAGCGAGGTGCTGGTACCGTGCGACGAGTTTCTGATTTTTTTTTTTTTTTTTTTTGTCTCTCTCTCTCTCTCTCTCTCTCCCCGTCGCAGATCACCAAGCTGAAAATCGATCACAACCCGTTCGCGAAAGGTTTCCGAGAAGAGGGGACCAGTAAGAAAAGGTTTGGACCTTGAATGGATTCCAGGGGGGGTTCTCCAGGACCTGAGGTTTTCCAGGACTTGAGGTTCTCCAGGATCTGAGGTTCTGCAGGACTTGAGGTTCTCCAGGACCTGAGGTTCTCCAGAACCCGAGGTTCTCCACGACCTGAGGTTTTCCAGGACCTGAGGTTCTCCAGGACCTAAGGTTTTCCAGGACCTGAGGTTCACCAGGACCCTGAGGTTCTCCAGGACCTGAGGTTTTCCAGGACCTGAGGTTCTCCAGGATCTAAGGTTCTCCAGGACCTAAGGTTCTCCAGAACCCGAGGTTCTCCACGACCTGAGGTTTTCCAGGACCTGAGGTTCACCAGGACCCTGAGGTTCTCCAGGACCTAAGGTTTTCCAGGACCTGAGGTTCACCAGGACCCTGAGGTTCTCCAGGACCTGAGGTTCTGCAGAACCCGAGGTTGTCCAGGACCTGATGAGGTTCTCCAGGACCTTAGGTTCTCCAGGACCTTAGGTTCTCCAGAATCCAGGGTTCTCCAGGACCCTGGGTTCTCCAGGACCTTAGGTTCTCCAGAATCCAGGATTCTCCAGGACCTGGTGTTCTCCAGGACCCAGGGTTTTCCAGGATCTAAGGTTCTCCAGGACCCGAGGTTTTCCAGGACCCTGGGTTCTCCAGGACCTGAGGTTTTCCAGGACCTAAGGTTCTCCAGAATCTAGTGTTCTCCAGAACCCTCCAGGACCTA